CACTAAACTGAGTTAGCAGGTGTATGGGTCCATTTTCATACTGCTATAAAGAACTGCCTGACACTGGGTAATTTATAAAGAAAAGACGTTTAATTGACCCAGTTCAGCATGACTGAGAAGGCCTCAGGAAACTTACATTTACTGTAACGGTAGAAGGCAAAGGAGAAGCAGGGCACCTTCTTCACAAGACAGCAGGAAGAAGAATGAACATAGGAGGAGCTACCAAACTCTTATAAAACTGTCAGATTTCTTGAGAACTCACTCACTATCACAAGAACAGCATAAAGGAAACTGCCGCCATGATCCAGTTACCTCCACCTGGTTTCTCCCTTGATACGTGGGGATTACAGAGATTATGAAGATTCAATTCAAGATGAGATTTAGGACACAGCCAGACCATATCAGCAGGGCTCTTTGTTAAAACTGGATTCTGCAAGGAAGTGCACAGATGGGGCTAGCAAAAGATTCAGAAGGCTGACTAACTTTGTCCAAGCAAAGAATCTATGTCAGGACAGAGCTAAGAAATATATATATGTATGTGCATTCAAACCATTTATATAGGTATCACATATATCTGTAATTATTGTTATACCTATCCGGTAGTACTTACATTAAGCTAAATGTTAGTTCATACTCATGGTTCCAACTTTAATTCATCTCACATGGATTATTCTAGTATTTCTGCTTGTCTGTAAACTCCTGGTTCAACAGTGGAAAATCTGGTTTCCACCATCTATTTACATATTGTTTAATCACAGTATGCATTAGAGTTTGAGAATTGTTAATTCATACCCTTATGAGAAACAATATTACCAATTAGAGTACAGTGTGTTTGTACAGTTCCTTTTGTATTTTGTCTACCTATTTCCATTAATCTCTAAAGTTACTTAAATCATCACCCCTTTTCCCCACCTGCTTCAGAGAGGTTATGTCATACATTTGTAATATAGTCAGATTTTTTTGCTACAGTTTGTATTCCATCTCGAACTCTCCCACCCTCCTATTTTTTAAAAAACATTGCATACATTAAGGTTTACTGTTTGTTCTAAGAAGTTCTATAAATTTTGAGAATGGATAGGGTCAGGTATCTACTACTACATAACCACACAAAACAGTTTTATATTCCTAAAAATTCCCCGTGCTTCACCTAATCAACTTTCCCTCATCCCCTTATCAATGGCAATTACTAATCGGGCTTCCATCTTTAAAATTTTGCTGTCTTAAAATATTCACCCCCCCCTGAATATTTCAGAATAGTAAATAAGTAGATGCATATACTGTGTAGGTTTTTCAAACTGACTTATTTTATTTATCAATATGCATTTAAGTTTTATCTATGTTGCTGTGTGGATAAATAGTTTACTCCTTTCAGTTGTTAAATAGCCTTCAATTGTCTGGATGTACCACACATTATTTATTCATTTACCAGTTAAAGAATTTCTTGGTTATTTCCAATTTTGATGGATTAGAAATAAAACCTCTATAAATAATTATCTCAAGGTTTTTGTGTAAACATAAGTTTTCAAATCCATTGGGTAAATATCTATGAGTGCAATTAATAGGTCACATGGTAAATCTATGTTTAGCTTGAAAAGAAATCACCAAACTGTCTTTCAACATAATCAGACCCATTTGCATTTCCACCAACAATGAGGCTTCCTGTTGCTCAACAAAATTGGTTATTTTTTACTAATTTTAGCCATTCCGATAGATATGAAATGCTATCTCAGTGTTGTGAGGGGCTGTTTTCAGTTTTTGTTTTTCATTTTTGAGACATGGTCTCGCTGTTGCTCAGGTTGGAGTACAATGGCATGGTAACACTTCCTGAAGCCTACACCTCTCTGGGCTCAAGTAATCCTCCCACCTCAGCTTCCCAAGTAGCTGGGACAAAGGCAAACTCCACCACATCTAGTTATTTTTTTTTTTAAGAGTCTCATCTGTTGTCTAGTCTGAAGTGCAGTGGTGCAATCTTGGCTCTGTAACCTCTGCCTCCTGGGTTCAAGTGATTCTACTGCCTCAGCACCCCTCAAGTAGCTGGGATTACAGGCACATGCCACCACACCCCACAAATTTTTGTATTTTGATAGAGATGGGGTTTTATTATATCCTCCATGCTGCTCTTCAACTTCTGGGCTCAAGTGATCTGCCCGCCTTGGCCTCCCGAAGTGCTGAGATTACAGGTGTGAGCCACTGTGCCTGGTCTTCAGTGTTGTTTTAATCTGTTTCCATAAAGATAATTAATGTTGAACATCTTTTCATATGCTTATTTACAATCTGTATATATTCTTAGTGAGGTATGTCAGTCAAGAAAAATGACCAAAGCAAGACTTAATCATTTCAGATCTATCTGCCAAATTTAAGGATGTGCATCCTGGAGACAGGTCTATGCCTGTTTTTACAGATGATTTTGAGGGCTTCAAATTTAAAGAGGAAATGGCAGAATATTGAGAAATACACAATTTTCATGAAAGGGCAGGTAGAGGAAAATAGTCATTCATGCATTTGTCTGCCTTAGTAAATCTGCATTTTTACATAAAATAATATAGGTAATAGGGCAGAGGAAACAATCAGATATGCATTTGACTCAGGTAGGCAGAGAAATGACTTTGAGTTCTGCCCTATGTCCCACCACCTGTGAAGATAAGCTATCAATTTACATTGCCATGGTGAGTTTTAACAGAAAACACTTTAGGGTAAAGACCTTGAGGCCCACAAGGAATTTCCTCGTGGGCAAAATATTAGGAAGGCATATAGGTTTTCACCTTTGAAGCCATCTGCTTCAGGACTAAAATGGGATGCAGGTTTGCATGACAATTTTCCAGCTCGACTTTTCCCTTCAACTTAGTGAGTTTAGGGTCTCAAGATTTATTTTCCTTTCACAGGTCTCTGTTGAGACATTTTGCCTGTTTTAAGTTGAGCTGTTTGTTTCCTTATTGTTGTGCTTTAAGCCTTCTTTGGATATTCTTCATATAAGTGTTTTATCAGATATGCAATTTTCAATATTTTATCCTGGTATCTTCTCATTTTCTTAATAACGTCTTCACAGAGTAAAAAATTTTAATGTTCATGAATTCCAACGTATCAGTTTTTCTTTTATAATAAAGTCAACTTTTCAGTTTTAAGTACTTTTTACTATTGTATCAAAAACTGTGTAAGTAAAATATGCATCCATAAAAAATAAAAATTCATCACCAAACATAGGTCATGCAGATTTTCTCCATGTCTTCTTCTAGAAGCTTTATAACTTTGCATTTTACATTTAGTTATATGATCCAATGCAGTTAATTAGAAGCTTTATTTCTTAAGCTTTTACATTTAGATCTGAAAACCTCATGGAATTATTTATTTGTTTATTTATTGCATGGGACAGAATAGGGGTCAAAATTCTTTTTTGTCTCCATATGAATTTTAGTTGACACAGCACTATTTGTTGAAAAAAGTGTCTGTTCCTCACTAGTCTGCAGTGTCACCTCCTTATTTGGCTCTATTTCTGGACTTTATTCTGGTGCATTGATATATTTGTCTGCCCTTGCACCAAGGCCATACTGTCTTAATTAGTGCAGCTTTATAAGAAGCACTTACACTGGTGAGCGTATATTCTCCCCTTTCTTCTTTTTTAAGATTATCTTGGCTATGTTTTTTGACTATATGCATTTTCATATGCATTTGAGAGCAAACTTGAAATTTCCCTAAGGAAACTGGGAATTCTGTTTAAGATGGTATCAAATTTATAGATAAATTGTGGATAATATGATATTAAATTTTCATATTATAACTCTTTCCAGGAATGAACATGATATATTCTGCCATTTATTTAAGTCTTCTTTCATCCTCCTCAAAAATCTTCTATAATTTTTTTCGGTTGCAGAGTTCTTGAATATCTCTAATCAAATTTATATTTATGATATTTGGAGTTTTGTAGTTACTATTGTGAAAGGAAAATATCTTGAGGCCCCCAAAACAGTAAGCTAAAGGGAAAAGTCAAGCTGGGAACTGCTTAGGGCAAACCTAACTCCCATTCTATTAAAAGTCATCCCTCTACCCAATGAGGTAAATGCATATCTGATTGCCTCATTTGGAGGAACTAATCAGAAACTCAAAAGAATGCAACAACTTGTCTCTCATCTTCCTATGACCTGGAACCCCCGCCCCACTTGGAGTTGTCCAGCCTTTCCAGAAGGGACCAATGTTCATCTTAGATATTTTGATTGATTCCTCATGTATCCCTAAAACAAAACAGTCCTCAGACCACCTTGGGCAAATGTTGACAGGAGCTCCTGAGGCTGTCATGGGTGTAAGTCTTTAACTCTGAAAAAATAATCTTTCTGAATTAACCGAGATTTGTCTCAGATTTTCAGGATTCACACTATATATGCATAATTGTGTGTGTGTGTGTGTGTGTGTGTGTGTGTATGTTTATTTAATTTTTTTATTGCTCATTCCTGGTATATAGAAATACAATTGACCTTTTTAAAGTATAAGTCGGTATCTTGCGAATAATTATAATAATTCTCTGCATTTTTTTCTTTGGATAATGGCTGAATAGCTTCTGGGTGCCTCTCTCTCTAAATGTGCATTACTGGTTTTACACTTTTCTCTGTTCTAATGATTAATGACCAAAGGACCCAATGTGGGTGAGGAAGGAGAGTGCAGCCAGGGTATTTATTCATGTTTCTACCCCTCTGGGATTGCCACTGTCTGGCTGAATCTTTCAACAGATGATCATAGCTCCTTTCAAAACAGCTGGTTCCAAAGGGATCACTCTCCTAATTTCTAAAACTCCTTGTTCCCTTGGGCTTAGATGAAAACTCGAGTGCCTGCTGGCCCTGGCTTTCTTCACTATTCCTTGTGGTTTCACTACATTCTGCCTGCAATTTTGTAATTATCCTCTTGTAAGTAAATTCTACTTGAATTATTCCAATTTGCATAAGCTGTTTGTTCCTGTTAAGATCTTAACTGACACAGGTAGAGACTTCTAAAACAGTGGAGCTCACATAGCACGGATGGAAATCAAAAAGTTTGTGAGCATGTTCTTGGGAAAACCACAACTGCATCACTTCTACTTTTGTCCTTTAGTTCCCACCTCCTTCTATTCTAGCAATGAGAGAAATGGCACCGAACATTGGTTGCTGGTTCAGAATATATACCACATATGAAAGCTAGTCCTCATGCTTACCAGATACTGGGGGTAAGGACTTTAAAATGTGTGTTTTCAAGAGGCACAATTTAGTACATTACAGAAAGTAAAATCGTGTATTTTCCTTATTCTCAATTGATCTGATAAATAATTGCTTGCTCAAAACTATAATAACATCACTATACTGGGTGACTATAGCTTATGGATAAAAGAAATAAAAGACAACATGTAATAAGAAGTAAAGGGAAGAAAAATCAAGAATACTCTCTTTTAAGGTACCTGCACAACCTGTGAAGTGGTTACAGTGAAAGTACACAGATTAATGTAAATATATACCACAAATTCTAGGATAACTACTAATTTTTTTAAAAGACATATATACTACGATGGAAAATGGAGGTATACAAAATGACAAGATCAGAGATTTCAGAAAAAAGAAACAGAAAAGGATAATGAATGAAAAGTTACAATTATGGTATAAATTAATCCAACTATATCAATAATCACTTTAAATGTGAATGGTCTAAATACACCAATTGAAAGATAGGCTGTCAGAGTAGATAAAACATAGGACCCAACTATATGCTGTCTAAAAGAAAGCCTTTTTTTTTTGGAAACAAAGTCTCACTCTGTTACTCAGGCTAGAGTGCAGTGGTGCAATCTTGGCTTCCTGCAACCTCCACCTCCCAGGTTCAAGTGATTTTCCTCCCTCAGCCTCCCAAGTAGCTATGATTACAGGCACCCGCCACCGTGTCTGGCTAATTTTTGAATTTTTAGTAGAGACAGAGTTTCATCATGTTGGCTAGGCTGGTCTTGAACTCCCAACCTCATGGTCCACCTGCCTTGGCCTCCCAAAGTGCTAGGATTACAGGCATGAGCCACCATGCTCAGTCAAGAAAGCCATCTTAACTGTAAAGGTACAAACAGGTTAAAAGTAAAGGGATGAAGAAAGATACACCATAATAACAGTAATGAAATGAAAGCTGAAGCAGTTATTATAATTTATATTAAAGCAGACTTCAGAGCAAGGAACATTAGGTGATAAAGAGAGGCTTTACATAATAATAAAGGGACCAACTATCTAAGAAGATGTAATAATCCTTAATAAGTATGTGCCTACCTGAGGAAAAAATGGATAGAATGGCAACGAAAAATAGACAAATTAATGATTACCTCTGAAGACCTCAACACTCTTCGACTAGTAAATGACAGATCCAGTGGGCAGAACATCATTATGGCAAAATCACCTAGATTTAATTGACATTTATGGACTACTTCATACAGCAAAGCAGAATACACATTCTTCTCTAGCTCTCATGGAATATCCACCAAGACAGACTACATTCTGAACCACAAAACATACCTTAACAAATTTAAAATAATAGAAATCATACAAAACATGCTATCAAACCACAATGGAGCTAAACTGGAAATCTGTAACTGAAAGATAGCTAAAAAATTCGCAAATATTTGTGACAACACAATTCTAAATAACAGTGAGGTGAAGGAAGTTTCAAGAAAAGTGTAAAAATATTTTAAACTAAATAAAAATTTTTTTAAAATGCAACTCATTAAAATTTGTGGGGTAAAGCAAAAGCAGTGTTTAGTGGGAAATTTATAGCATCAAATATATATTAATCTGCTTGAACTGCCATAACAAAAGACCACAGATTGTGTGGCTAAAACAACAGTTTATTCTCTCCCAGTCCTGGAGACTAGAAGTCCAAGATCAAGGTTTCTTCAGGATCTCTTTCTGCTGAGGCCTTGCTTCCGGTCTTATAGATGGCTGCCTTCTTGCTGTGTAATCACATGGTCTTTTTCCTGTGGAGAGACAGAGGGAGAGAGGGGAAAAAATAGAGAGCTTTCTGGAGTCACTTTCTCTTCTCATAAGGACACCAGTCCTATTAGATTACAGCTTAGTCTAACAGATTATTAGATAATCTAATAGGACTGGTGTCCTTAAAAGAATATCTTTACAACATATTTAATCTTTATTGCCTTCTCATAGACTCTAACTCCAAATATGGTAACATTGGGAGTTAAGGCTTCAAAATATGAATTTTTGGAGGAACACAATTCAGTTCATAATATAATACATATTAGAAAAAAGAATAAGATCTCAAATCAATAATCTGAACTTCCACTGTAGGATACTAAAAAAGAAAAGTAATTCACATCCAAATAAGCAGAAGAAAAAAACAAAATCACAGTGAAAATCAGTAAAATTGAAAATAGAAAAAAATACAAAGAATTTTTAAAAAGAGTATTAAATTAATAAGTCACTAGCCAGCCCAATGAAGAAAAACAAGAGAAGCCACAAATTATTTATATTATAAACAAAAGAGGAGCCATCGCTATTGATCTCATGGACACTGAAAGAATAATAAAGGAATATTATGAACAGTTTTGTGTCTACAAATTAGATAACTTAGATTAAATGGACAAATTTCTTGAAAGAAACAGTCTACCAAAACTCACACAAGAAGAAATACATAATATGAATATGTCTGTATCTATTAGAGACATTGAATCATTAAGAACCTTCCAAAATAGAAAGCATCAGGCCCATGTTCTTTTACTGATGAATTTTATTATATATTTAATGAAGAAATTATACCAATTTCTACAACTTGTTCCAGAAATTAGAAGCAGGGGAAACACTTTCTGACTTATTTTCTGGAGCCAGATTATCCAAATGTCCAAAACCAAAGACATTACAAAGAAAAAAAACAAATCAAAACAAAACAACAGAGTAATATGTATCATGAATATAGATTCAAAAATCCACAAACGGTTTTAGGAAACAAAATTAAACAAAATATAGAAAGAATTATAAACCACAACCAAGAGGGATTTATTCCAGCTATGCAAGGCAAGTTCAATATTTGCAAGTTAGTTAATGTAATCCATCACGTCAACTTGCTAAAGAAAAGCAACTATGTGATTATATCAATTAATATAGAAAAAACATTTGAAAAAAATCAACATTCAATCATAAAACTCTCAGCAAACTACAAATAAAAGAAAACTTCTTCAACTTGATAAATAACATCTACAAAAGGCCTATAGCTAATATCATACTTAATGGTCGAAAACTAGAAACTTTCCCATCAAGATCAGGAACAAGGCAAGAGTATCCTGTCTCATCATTCCTATTCAACATTGTACTGGAATTCCTAGCTAATGCAATAAGACAAGAAAAGTGAATAAAATGTACATAGGTTGGAAAGGAAGAAATGAATCTATCTTTCTTCACAGATGATGTAATTGTCTATGTAAAAAAATCAAGATATTCAAAACCACAGTAAAAATTCCTGGAACTAATAACTGAATGTGGCAGAATACAAGTTGCTTTTGTATATACTAGGAATGGACAAATGAAATTTGAAAGTAAAGTACACACACCCTTCAGAAACTAAAGAAAGAATCTGATTTCAACTTGGAATGTAAATGAAATTAATCTGGTAAGGACTAATGAATCAGAAAGAGTAGAGAATGATAATGTCTATATTTTGAGACTTTAACCCCTCTATGAGATCAAAGGAAGAGAGATGTATTTTGTTCAAAATTTAAATTTTATGTGACACACAATCTTGTGTAACCTGTCTTGTAAATTTGTTTAGATAATCTAATTCAGGTTTAACTTGACACCTGGAATAGTAGATAAAATCTTAGTGTTCTGTGTAAGTTGTTGCAATACTCTGATGTATTTAAGGGAATGTTGTGTATAGAATTAAATAAATGTTTGCAGATGTCCTCAAGGGGCTGGGGAAGGAAACCATGAAACTGTATGCACTGGATCTAAATTGTACAGGAAAGACTCATCTTCAAGATTCATAAGTTGGCCAGCTATTGTAATCTCCAACAGGTTCTTCTTGTCCACTGTACAAAAAAGCCAATACACTGAGACCGTGGTGTTGCAGTAGAGAAAGAGTTTAATTATCACAGGCCTAGCCCAGGAAGAGGATAGGAAATGTTTCTGAAATCCACTTCCCTGAGATTTCAGAGGCTATATTTTTTCAAAGACAGTTCAGTGGGTAGAGCGCTAGGGGATAGGGAATACTGATTGGTTGGGTTGGGCATGAAATCCTAGAGGATCAAAAATAATCTTTGTACACTGAGTCAGCTTCTGTATGGGGCTATAGGACTGGTTGAGTCAGTTTCTTAGTATGGATCTGGGTGATTTTAAGTAGAGTCAGTCAGTCATCAGAATGCAAAAACCTGAAAAATATTTCAAATACCAATATTAGGTTTTACAACAGTGATGCTATCTACAGGAGCAATTGGGGGAGTTACATATCTTGTGGCTTCTGGCTACATGACTCCTGAGCAGTAATGAATCATAGAAAAGCAAGCTAGGGGACAATGGCTGGTTATCATTTAGCTATACCTATATCTTAGAAGAATTCAGGCTCCTTTAATAATCCTAACCTTCTGGTCTTTCATTAGTTTTACAAGGGTGGCTTTTTGTTCCTGAACAAGGAAAGGGTTAGTTTCAGGAAGGGGCTATTATCACTTCATCGAGCTGAGACATCTAGATTCTCTTGCCCCCACACACTGGTTCCATGATCTTTCAACTCTGAGACTTACATCTTCAACCTCAGACTAAATTACAGCAGACTTCTCTGGTGCTCCAGCTTTTAGACAGCTTATTGTGGGACTTCTTGGCCTCAATAATAGCATGAGTCATTTTTTCTATTATCTCTCTCCTCTCTCTCTCTCTCTATATATATATGTATATACATATATACATATATGTGTGTGTGTATGTGTGTGTGTAGATAGATAGATAGATAGATAGATAGATAGATAGATAGATAGACAATCTCCTGTTGGTTCTATTTCTCTAGAGACCCTGACAAATACAATTTTCCAATTTATGGGAGATAAGAAGAGTCTCCATGAAATCAAAAGAAAAAGCAGTAAGATATATTAACCCCATTGATTTTGATGTTAGTGAAAATTACTTTTTTGGTTTTCACTAGATTTACACTCTGTTTTGGTAAGTTGCAAAGAAATTTGTTTTTGCCCTTGGCTGAAATTGAACTAATATCTAAGAAGAGATAAAGCAAGTTTATTCAAGCTCTAACATGCTATACGCACATACATACATAAACATATACACACAATGTTAATGCAGTAGACGTCTAACTAACTAACTTTGAAAATGCTTTAACTTTTTAGCTTTGGAAATAAAGGAGTAAATTCAAGCGCAACAAGGGAGCTAAGCTATGAGGACGCAAAGACATAAGAATGACACAATGGACTTTGGGGACTTAGAAAAAGGGTGGGATGTGGGTGAGGCATAAGAGACTACACATTGGGTACAGTGTACACTGCTCAGGTGATGGGTGCATCAACATCTCAGCAATCACTGCTAAAGAACTTATTCATGTAGCAAAAACCACCTGCTCCCCAAAAACTTATTGAAATAAAAATAATGCAATACAAGGGCAACACACTTTTTTGGATTTTATGAGTCTATACATATAGACTGACGGTTCCTAATTGCCCATCTGTCCTTCTTTTTGTTTTTTCCTACCTTCCTTCCTTCCCTCCTTTATTCCTTCCTTCCTCCCTCCCTCCCTCCCTCCCTCCCTCCTTTCTTCTTTCCTTTCTTCTTCCTCTTCTTTTCTTTTTAACTCAGGCTGCTTATAGCCCAGAGGTACAGAATTACTCCAGTCAGAACAAACTGGGATGTGTCAGGCAGTAGTATAGATTTTTCTCTGTGCTAGGGGGATGTAAATAGTAAATATCCTTGGCACAACACTATGTGCCAGCTGTGAATTCTGGTAAATATTCATAATTTGAAGATAAAAGTTAACTACAATTGGAATTGTTTGCTATATACAGAAAATATCATTTGTAATAGGTATACAATTGGTCTTTTGTTTAAGAAAATAACTTATTGAATTCATTCAGTCATTCAAGGTAAACTAGACTGAGCGATGCTTAAAATGGCATGTCATCCTACAAGAGAAAATTTCAATTCTTTGAGAACCTCTGGAGAGAGGGCTGAAGGGCCTAGAATTAGAAGAAAAAGGGAAGAAAGAATCTTCAGAGACAAAGGAGGGGCCACAACAAATGATATGGGTAGCAGGAATTCAAGGAAGAACACAGCAATGGAAACTCTCTGATAGGGAAAACTGTCTAAGAATTTCTGTGAACAAAGACGTCAGATGTTCCATTTGAACTATTCTCCATGGCAGATCCTGTAGAATAGGCTACTCAATAGCCATTCCAACTTTTTACTCTCTTCCTTTTCTTCCTCTAATGCAGAGTCTGGGAAGCTAAAGACTCTCATGCTCAAGCAGATGCCTGCTGAGGATTTGGGAGAAAGTCTTTGATTCCTAATTACAAAAGCTATTCCTGCTTCCTCTGCTTCCTCCATTTCTCCTTCTTCCTTCCTGGCTGTAATGGCTGGAGCTATGATTATCTTGTGACCACAAGGGAAAGGCCAAAAGATGTCCACAAACTTTAGCCCTGTTATCACAGGAGATATGCAAAGGAAGCTCAAACGATTTGGGAACTATTTAAGGAATCTCACGAGTTCTAGGTGATTTACGGATATTCATGTGCAGTTACATTAAGGTGTTCCTGCTTAATTTTTGCTCTTAAATACAAAAATTTTGTCAGCAGTAATTGTAAATATAGATCATGATTTGCTTGACATGATGATCAAGAAAATGATGTAAAATGGTACTTCATATGCATATTTCTAAAAATATATGGCAATATTCACAAGCAGCTAATTGAAACAAATGAGCAAGGGATGATAATGGGAATATATTGCAAAATGCTCATTTTATGTAAGCATTAAG